CTCTCCTCAAGTATTCAAAGGCCACAGTGAGGTCTCCCCAGAGCCATCTCTTCTTCATCTTTTATTAACTTAAATTTTAAAAGAACACGTAGCTCCAGATTCTATTCACAGGAACAGGGCTGCTAACTCCTCTCTCTTTTGAGAAGAAACTGAAATTATGCCTGTGTGATTAGAATTTGTCAGACCAGTTTGACATAATGTCAATTCAAATATGGGAAACCAAGACAAAAGCAGGGCTTTAAACCTAATATCTCATGTAACTATCCAAAATGCAGAATTAAAGCAAATGTCCGAACAAAATAAGAAATTGTATAGTACAAAAAATATCACACAAGAAGGATACGCGTTGTTCTCTTATCACCTCAAGTCAGTGCATAGAAAGTGATAGGACAGCAGTTGAAGACCAAGAACAGTCAATAAAAGTTTCGCTATTGGCTTCATACACCATCTAGTAGTGAACACATCTCCACAAAAGGCATTATTCAAACAACAGATTTACAATTTCATTATATAGTGTTGCTTATAGACACGAGCATCAGAATAACATTTCCTGAATTTCCATTGTAATTAGTTTTTCTTTCTATTTTCCAAGAAGGAAAACAGAAAGAAAGAGAGGGAAAAAAAAAAAAAAAAAAAAAAAAAAGATTTTCATACCAACTTGGCTACAAGTGAATAAGTTACATTTTAATATTCTTTATAATCCATTCCTGAGATTCAATCCAGACATTTTTTAGGTTGCTATTATTTGTTTCAGTCTACAGCTTGTCAGATTTACATTTTATTTTGTGATGAACACCTGGATTCATCCACACACTGCATTTCACATTCCCTTCTTTTAACTTTGCTTGGCAACACATTCAGAAAATGCATGATCTCTTCTGACATTAATTAGTCTGAGCTAATATAAACTTTAGTAGGCAAGTCATGATTTCTTATATGACTGTGCTGAGGATGTTAACGCAATCAAATGTTATCAGTAAAAAGCACTGTCCTTCATATTTGTTTGATGTAAATGAGGGACAGCATCGATATGACATCAGGGCTATATAATTTTAGCTATCTAAATAGGCCTAATAAGCGTGATACTCCGGGATTTTTCATCAGATCATGCAATAAATTGTTTTCCCATATACACTTGAAGTGCTAAGTTAGCAACTGTAGCTATATCCCTAAGACCAGGAAGTTAATAATCCCAGGGTAAAAAATAAGTAGGTTTGTAATTAATTAATTTGCAAGTAATATATTTAGAATGTCTTAGTACTGTGCATTTCAGAGTGGTCCAGACACTAAGGAAAAGCAGAATTAGGTCCATTTAGGTCCTACCTTAAAGCAAGCAAAATTCTCATGGGCTCCCATGTGAGATGACTACAGGATCAACACAGTTTTGCTACATATTATGTAATTTGTTTAAATAACAATATTCTTATTGGTCTAGGGCAGCTTTGAGAATCATATGATCATAATGCATAAAAATCCTTGTTTCTCAGCTTATTCACCAGCGCAGCACTTTCATACTATTGCTGGCATGAAACCAGTGGAATGCAAAGGATACCAAAGAACATTTTGAGAAAGAAATTAAAAAAAAAAGAGAGAGAAAACAAGTTCTTTCCTGATGCGGGGCTGCTAAGATTTAATCCTGCAAAATGTGGGGCGTATTTTCATTGCAGAGAGAGAATGGATTCACCATCCTGCTGCATCATACACATGGAGTCTTGCTCTATTGGAAACGCTCATTTCTTCTCTGAGAGCAGTGTTTTGAATTTTAAGTATGATTAGAACATTACATTAACATTCTAATAATCAGAATTTCAAAGACTACAAATCTTATTCCCATAAAAAGTCTAATTTTTCCAGTTTAACTCTTTCCTCTTCAACTACATATACAGAAAATTCAAACATATTTAGATAGCTTATTGGCAGCTAGCAGGGGTTTGGCTCTGATTTATCAAAACTACTTATATAGTTTTGATATATATATGGTAAGTACATGGATAATGTGAATCTTAGTCAATGCTATCTAAACGATGAAAGTGTTTCAATTTTAAAACCAGAAGCATTAAAAAGCATTTAAATACTGAGAGGGGTTTTTGTTGTTGTCTTTTGATGGATTTTTTTTTTTTTTTTAGTATAAAGCAAATGCAACATAGCATACAGTGGGCTTAAATCTTATTTCATTATGCTCTAAATTTTTTAGAAGTAAAATAAATTTTATTTCCTAAAATGAAGTGTCGAATGTTTATCGGCTGAATTCCAAATTACCTTCAGTGGACAACCCAATTTCTAAATAAGTCATGCTATTTTAATATCAAAAATAATTCACTGGGCATGCTTGTAGTGCAATTTAGCAGAATTGGCCTAATAATTCTGTTTCAGTGAACACACACACTGGTAAGCATGAAAAGTGTTGAAACCTCCAAGTGGACCCAGAGTAATACATCATTTCCTTTGCTTTTATAACGTAAATACTGAAATAGTGATTATTGTCTTACCTATAAGATCCGACCATGTGGTCACCTAGTCTTAGGTCCCAGTTAATATCTGTGAAAACTTAATAAATTCCAGTGATCAATGCTTTAAAGGTTGCTCTGTAGCCACTGTCAATCCAGAATGATAGCAGCAAGCCTGTAAGCTTCAGCTCATTTTGCCTATGTTTTTTTTTTAAACTTATTGGCAGAATTATATTAATATAGTGCATCTCAGTGAAAAGATGACTACTACTGTTATCTTCCCATCCTTTATAGTCACCAAATTGAGGTCAGGAAGAAAATACCTACCCAGCTGGATTAGCAGAAGATAGGTTTTTTTCCTATCCTGCAGCCTGGCATATGCTCTTTCTAAGAGGATCTGGAAATGTTACTTAACGACCTATTGCTGCAAGGTCATAATGATACCCACTGTCTTTCTTTGGCACACTGGAATTTGATTTTTTTAATGCCTTAGGTATTTGGCAGGTGATGGGAAACACTGTACAGCATGTCATATAGTGTTGGACAATGAGCTTGGGTGTTCTGTTGACCTTTCTAGGTTAGACACTTGTGCCAACTGTGTACTGGAAAAGACGCAGCTGAGTTTCTGAAGGTTCCCAGGTCTGTTCTCTGATTTGATCTAGCACTTTTACAAAAATGGCTCGACTTAAAGTTTTCTTTGTGGCAGAGCACAATATGGACCCAATACTTCTAACATTTTCATATGATAATTCAGTAGAAAAGCTTTCACTGACTCAGTGTCAGTTTCTTGTTCTGCAGCCAACTGAAAACTATTTATCTATAGCATTGGCCACACATTTCTTTCAAAAATACTTCTTTTTAATCGCTGTAGATCTGATTTGTTCAACTAAGTTATTTTTAATTTGTAAGAACTGGGTCCTCTGTTTCTAATGTAATTCCAAGCCTTTTGTCCTTCAAGGTTTTCTATTAACACCTTAAACAAATGTGACTTTACTGCATTCAGTATGTAACTCCATTCTATGTCTATTTACATAAATATTTTGTACATCTGATTAACATCAGGATTGCCAGCTTTTCAAGTGGCACCCATCACAGCATAATTATGCTGTCTTGCACAATATTTTTGGCATTACAGCATTCAGCTTCATTAATGAACATTGCTAGCTATCCACAATTATTGTGGATATCCAACTGCCAAAGGTAACTTCTCTTCCTCAGCATGCCAAATGTTAAAAGCGTCATCTGCAATTTATGGCTATTAGACACTGACACAACAGATGACAAATGTCTTTCTGCTAATATTGTTGGGTGGTTTTGTTGGTTTGTTTTTTTTTTCCTGACACAGATTTTCCATTGTATTTTTTAATATTTTCCTTCCCAGTTCAACTACATTTTGTCATTTTCAATTTCACTCAATTTTAACCTAATACTGGGGAAAAATTGCCAAAAGTAGTCAAAGCAGCAGTGATTCACAGGCACACAAAGCCAGATTCCTGCAGGTCGCTCAGATTCAAGAATCAATTTGTATTTCTTTTGCTTTCAACAGCAGCAGAGATTTGCCAAAATTCAAGTGTGTCTGCAGTCTTGGGTAAGGGAGGAGTTACTCTGGGTCTACATGGGTCTACATAAAAATTAAGATAAGACCACTTGAAGAAAAAAAACTGAAGAATGAGAATGCCAAAAAATGAGCACTGCTAGCTAACATCTTCTTCGCATAGCTAGCTGAAAGCTGAATTCTCATATTCTAATCACAATAAAGAAAAGGGCTGTGGTTGAAGAAGATATATCCCCCTACAGTAACTGTTGTGGGAGGAAATAGGTTGCCCTAGTCTTACTTTAATTAGGTCAGTACACGTGTGGAAAATATACAGCAGAGAAAGAGCCTCATTGCATCTTCCATCTGCCCACTGGGAGATGAGAGAAATGAAAACAGCAACATAAAGCAAGTTCTGATAAGTTTTGCATTACATTCCTTCTCACCTCTGCTTATCATTGTGAAAAATGTAAAAGGTTTATTAATGTCACTGATAAATACAGCCTCATCAATTTAATGACAAATATCCACAAAAATTATTATACTACTCCAAACAATAAAGGAAGACTATCTTGGAAATAACTAAAGTGCATTTATATAGCCTTCTAAAGCCATTCAGCATTTCTAAAACCATTGAGTAATATATAGACAAGCCCATTTTAATGATGTGAAACATTTTGCCCTAATGGCACATTGATATGTAAAGCTTTCCTAACATTTGTTAAATTGTCAAAAACATTCCTACCAGTCTGTTACAATCACCCTCAAAGAACAGATAGCTTTTGCCTTCACATCTTCCTGCTTACCTTTTTCTCTTCATATCATAAAATGCCTCTTCCTGAAATGACATTTGCAAACAAATATATGGACTACAGTAATTATAGTCACTACTCCTGATATTATTCATAGACAGTCTTCCTTTACCTGTAACATTGGAAATGCAGCCTCTATGGTATTAAATGAATTATCACTTCATGTAGACCTGAATCCAGTGTGTGTGTGTTGTCTTGTTTCTGCAGACTGTTATTGTAACCCTTTTGGTTCAGTCCATGATCGCTGTAATGACAGAGGATTTTGTGAGTGTAAGGAGGGAGCATCAGGGCCTAAATGTGATAAATGTCTGCCGGGATATATCTGGCACAGCTTGGGCTGTCAACGTAAGTAACTCAGAGTTGCCCCTCTTCTGCAACTTTGCTGCCTCTGCGTCTGTGTGCTATCATGTGCAGCTACTTAAGAGCAGAAAATGAGCAAAACCTCTGCAGGCTGCCAGAATGTCATACTGCCTGAGCCTTTCTGGAGACTCCCAGATGAGGACAATAGATTGGCTGTGCCATCCGTTAATTTTAGTACACTTTCAGTGTCCTTGCTCTTGCTAATTCTTGCAAGAGTTCCCACTGAAATATATAAATGTGTGTGTCTTGCTATCTGTGAAAAACGTTTTGTGTACTAACATATCAGCATATTAAATCCAACTTTTAAATTCTTCCTAAAAGACAAAAGGTAATTTCTCTGCGTGTTCATTTTTTTTCCTACTAAACTTCAATCTCTTGGATTAACTTAATCATACTTTCACACCTTAGAACTAAGCCTCAGAGCAATACAACTGCAAAGTGCTGGCTTATTATATGTTATAATTAGTGAAAACTACACAAAATTTAACAATAATATTAAAATAGAATTGAAAAAAATGTCCTTAAAAATAATAGCTGAAATTTGGTGTAAACATTGTTAGCTGCAGGTGCTGTTTCAGCAGTTCCTTGGATATTTAGATACTTTTCTCATTAACAGGTCTTGTAAACATATGAGTGGAAATATCCAATCAGTACACACTGGATTAGGCTTTCATTGTCAGTTTCTTTTGTTATAACTGTTTTGAACACTCACTTCCAGAAACTCTAGAGACCTCTCATGATTTTTTTTCACCTTTTCACAAGAAAATCATTATGATTCTTTGCAATATAATTTGAATAAAGCATAGCAAATACTTGTGTTCACTCTGTGGGTTTAAATAAGATATTGAGTAGCTAAGATAATGAATAGAGCTGAAGGTCTGTGTACTGTGTTGTACAGTCACATAATTAATATGGCAATAGATAAAATAGGCTGCCAAACCAATTGCTTATTAATCACACTGTTTCCTGTCTTTATGTTTTGGACATTATAACCCCAATAATGTTCTTCTAATGAGTATTTTTTGAGCCCAACATATAATTAGCCTGATTTTACCTGAGTCAGACTATTTGTAAAAGTTTTAGACAGTTTCTGGAAATGCAAGCTAGTGCTTTTCTGTTTTGCTGACAGAACCAATTAAGTGTCCCTCTCTGCATTGTAATTTTCTGAACAAATCTCCATCTGATTGTGTTTCTGTCACATAACCCCCAAGTTTCATCAACTTATCTGAACAAGTTCAGAAGAAAAACCAGATGCAGTGGTTAATTTTATGGAACAGACACAAAATTTAAATCTCGTTTCAAGTCTTTTCATGGAGGAACAGAATTCCAATTCATTTAATTTTGCAGTGTGGCAATTTTAGCTTGGTTTTCTTCCCATTGAAATCTGAACAACTTGCTGGCAAACAAGTGGGTCCTAATATACAGAAAAAATAATAGCTCATTCTTCTGCCTTAACAGAGCACAAAAGAACTATTTGTCTGGACTTGTAGCACATGGTCATATGGGTTTACCTTGAGCTTGCACTGCACAGAAATATAAATATGCTAAGATGGATACACACACAGTGCACCAATATGAGTTTGTTTACTTTTTGTCATATGTAGCCTATTGGTACTATTACAAAAATCTATTTGTATGGAGCTTTGTTGCTAAACTTCAATGACCTAGGACAGTCAGAAGCTTTACCCACAAATAAAGTTAAATCTATATCGCAGCTAGTTTAATTATTCTAATGATGGTGGTAGTAAATGAAATGGCTTAGTATCCAGCATTAGTGAACCTATTTGGGAAAAAGAGTGCTGAAAATCCTGTTGTGTTCTAAGGCTCACAATACATCATCTGATAAATTACTGTTCAGAGTCTCCCTTGTACAACACATGGATGAAAGACACAGAAGCTATTATCCTCAGAAGTATTCGTTTAGGTACTGCACTCTTACTGATTTCATCTAAAACCTTTGAGGATCTAGGTAGAGCTCTCATCACTTGCTTCTCTGTGCATACAGAGGTCAGATGCAATTTAAGACATTGCCTCCCAGATAAAAAGCACCGTGATAACAACTGTTATCTTACTGAGTTCAGGGTTTATGCTGCACAGACACAGCAGTCAGCCAGGGATTGGTTTGTGCCCTCAGTAAAAAAAAAGGCAGAGGTGCAGCTGTGCCTCCGTGTCTACCTCTGGACCCATCCACGCTGCAGGCAAAGTGTAGGGGAAGCAGCCAGGGCTCAGCCCTCCACCACTCTTCCACATACCTCCAATGGTTTTCTCACCTGCACACATACAGAGATCTAAGTGAGGAGAATGAATTCAGAAGAGAATTTTAGAATCTCAGAAACATTGGAAACAGGATAGCCATATTTAATTTTTCTGTCTTATAGCAATTAAGTCATTTCCTTTAGAAAGCAATGTAGAAACAGAACAAAAAAAAGCTCTAAAGCTAGAAAGAAATGTAACCAGCAATGACAGTTGTTTTGGGCCAAAGTGACCGGTTCCTAGTGATAAGAGGAATCCATAACAAAACGTAGAATAATTTGCACAGAACTGACCAAGACTAAAAAACAGATGAAGGGAAAATACCATGCCGGACCATTTTGATTTTCTAAGCATGCAGGTTCATAATATTGCATATGTCATATTTCTCCTCCATGTCATGTCAGGCATCTAAATTCTGTTGTGTTCATATAAGAGTGTTTGAAAATGTACCTTTTAATTTCAATCTCACTACAACTGATTCCAAAGCCAGCTGTGTATTTATCCAATCCAACAAAGAAAAAGTTTCTCTTCTGGCAATCCCAACTTGGCAACAGAACTCTAATTTGCCTAAGACATGACCTTCCCATGGAGAAAAAGATGATATTATTCACTATCTTCCTTCATATGATTAATGAGCAAAGAGGGATTTTGGAGTTATCAAGCATAGCTTGCACCCAGAAATTAAATTCAGTGTATTTATTGACAATTGTTTTAAAATGTCTTGCTTCAGTTTTCAGCCAGATGCCTTACATTGATCTCTGAATAGTTGCTTTTATTTTACCCTTTTATTTTTTTTCCTATTTCAAATATTTTTTATTAAGGCAAGGAGAAGATTACAATTACATTCTTATCTTAAAAGCTCAAACTGTGCTCAGTGCTTGTATCTGTACTGACCTTTTATCACTCTGCAGCCTGCTAGATAATTCATATTCTGTTACAGTATGCATTTGATTTCTCAAATAAGTTAAATATATATTTTTTGTCTACATTTTATCACATGATACAAATGTGAGAACCCCAGGCATTTGATCAAAATCATCATGCAAATTGAATTTCAAAAGAAATCCAACCAGAAGTTGTGATCCTGTGAATTATATTAACATTGGCTTTTGGAAGTTTGTGTTTCAGTATTTGACAATAAAAGATGCGTTACCATTATTTTCTTAAAATACATCACATTCTTCTTTCCAGACTGATTAAATATATAAATGTAATGGTCTCTCCTCTTGAAAGTTAGCAAGTTTTTATACTTATCTGTATGCGGATATATCTGCTAGCCCTTCTATATCTATACATTGACATTCTGCATGGGGAACTATGACAAATTCAGAACTGGAAAGCCCTGTTTTCCATTTCACCTTTGTCTGTGTGCCTGTAAGACAATCCAATCTATCTTATTACATCCTTCTACCAGTGGCAGTTGTAATGCTTTTATCTTGCCAGGATATAGCAGGATTTCCCCTCAGCACAGGTGCTGCACAAACTTCTAGTTCTAGTTTTAGTGCCAGGACTGGTGCTAGCAAGTGCACTGCCTCTTCAGAGCCAAAGGGAAATAAAACACAGAGAGAATTGACTGACAGGTACCAAGTTCTGAACAATGCCATCCCCAAGGAACATTTTTTCCTTGTTTCTTTATACACAAAATACTGCTTTCACAATATCTATTTTACATGACTGTTATGCAGAATGAAGAAATTGTGTGTGTATAGGGATTTGGATGTCAAAGAAACAGTCTGCTTCAAACTACTCTAAATTTAAATGCAGAATAATTCTCCTTAAACCAATCCAGAATCCCACAGCTTCAACTCAAGGCAAAGTATGACTTATAGGTGTAATAACAAGTAAGGCAAAATTACAAACAAAATTACATTGTTATCAGACCTGATTCTCAGATGATTCAAAAACGCTGATTCCATTAACCTCAGTGGAAGCATGCTGGCTTACTACACGTGCTGAAATCCTGGGTCTTTTAGAGCTGAGAAAAGACAATGTGAATATGTTTATTAACACAGTAATTCCAAGATACACGGCCCACAAAACAGCCATGCAGATATAGCAATACATAGACAATTTCTTACTAACAAAGTATGATTATTATGGAAGGTTATTACTTTTTAATGAGATGTTGGATTTAAAGGAGAAACAGAAGGCTCATCTCTCTGCAGAGAGGGTATTTTGACACCAAAAAAAAACAAAACCAGAACACAAACTTTGCATTTTACAAAAAGGATGAAATGAACCATCTTTCCTCTATGAGGAGCAGAGAGAAAATGAAAACATAAGATGCTTTCTATATATAGTATTACACAGATTCACATAGTTACCATAATATGGCCAGTTGGAATCAAGTCTCAGACTGCTCTTAGTACTGCCTCATTAAAATCTGTCAAACATCATGAAAATGGAGTAACCTGCAAAAAGAAATAGGTTAGAGAGACATTTGTATGTGCTCGAAGACATTATCAAAAGCACCTGTGTGCTGGAAGGAAAGCCTCTGTGAATAGAATAAGGATTGTGAGTTAGGTAACACCTGTGTGGGGGGCAGCTCGAGAAAATAATGAGTCATAAAACAAACAGAAGGAGGAATAGCACAGGGCTAGTTCACATAAGTTAGCATCTTGCAAAGAAGCATGAGGCTCTTAATACACTGCAGCTCTTTGGCTCAAGATCTCTGATAACAAAGTGATCAGATTTGCATTCACTGAAGTGAACAGAAATTGAGCATCAACATT